CCTAATACAAGCCACTGGTTTCCTAATCTAATCACAGCCTGACTTCTAGCATATCTGATCGACTGTAGAGATAAGTGTTGACCTCAAAGGCTTATGAAACCTATTATTCGGTACATTCTCTCATAGGGAATACAATACAAAGTCAAATATACAGCTATAGACTATAGACTATAGTATGTCTATGTATTCAAATTGTTTACGTTTATGTACACAAGTATTGGGAGAATTTCTTTCCAGGAGTTTGCGATAGGAATGGAAAGTATTAGCGATCGGAAAGTTACCAAAGGTCTCCCCTTTCAATACAGTCAATACACACACACTTTCTCACATCAATCTGAATAATAAGAGAAATTTCCTAAAATAACACACAAATAGTAACCACATTTGCATTGCATATCAAAAGTTATGTAAACAAACAATACAACCATTTATTGAGAATTAGCTAATATTTGGCGATATTTATCACAAATAACTTCGTTTAGAGTTAAGGTATAAATTATTATCAGAAGAAAAACAGCACTAAAAACACAAAGTAATCGTTAATAGAAATCAATGCAAAACTCACTGATATATGGATGTCCGGCCACCAGCCGAAGAATATTGATCTCTCGAAGGGACGCCTCCCTGAGTGTCAGCCCCTGGGAGTCCTCGAGGTCTGCGCTGACATCAATGATCTTCGCCGCAAACTCGCGTCCCGTCTCCTTCTCAATACACCGGCGGACAGTACTCGACACACCTCTGCACACATCATCACCCATAGGATCAGTCGTTGTGACACATTATAAGAGCACAGGGATGTAGAGGTCATACCTTCCGAGCACTTCTTTGGGCTCGTATTTGGCGTAGAAGTCTTTGGCCACGTCTTCGTCGGGCAAGTCGTCCATCTCATCGGCATCCCTGTGACCGAGGTTTGCCACCATATCCACCACCACCTGCGGCACCAACTATATGGTGATGATCACCACCACAACAACACTGCAGCTATAGGTTTGACAACACAAAAGGCTAACAATTTGTTTGTATTGATACAGAAAAGCACACAAAACTCTCATTCAATGCAAACGTCTGAATGGTGTGAATGAGTGTCACTCGTGAGCACAGATAGTATGAGCGGTGACTCCGATGTACGGATTGTTTCGCTCAACAAAACACTGATTTGCAGCCAAAACACAATCAATTGATGAACTGATGACTGCTTTCTTTGGCAACCGAAGCGACGATCTCTTCCTTGCGTTCACTAAAGCAGTCAATAGAGAGAGGAGTCATATGTTTGGCAACACATCCGTAGACAACGTTACGACACGACGAGAGCGCAGTCATTGGTGGCCGTCATTGATGTGCAGAAGATATTGGGAAACACGTCAGTATTACCAGAGTTTGTGTCTTACGATCGCTGCCAACAAACGCCGACCAAATCGCCGACTCGTGAGCCCACACACAGACTGTCTGTGTGTGGGCTCACGAGTCGGCGATTTGGTCGGCGTTTGTTGGCAGCGATCGTAAGACACAAACTCTGGTAATACTGACGTGTTTCCCAATATCTTCTGCACATCAATGACGGCCACCAATGAGTGCGCTCTCGTCGTGTCGTAACGTTGTCTACGGATGTGTTGCCAAACATATGACTCCTCTCTCTATTGACTGCTTTAGTGAACGCAAGGAAGAGATCGTCGCAAAGGTTGCCTCAAAAGCAGTCATCAGTTGATTGTGTTTTGGCTGCAAATCAGTGTTTTGTTGAGCGAAACAATCCGTATATCGGAGTCACCGCTCATACTATCTATGCTCACGAGTGACACTCATTCACACCATTCAGACATTTGCATTGAATGAGAGTTTTGTGTGCTTTTCTGTATCAATACAAACAAATCGTTAGCCTTTTGTGTTTGTGTCAAACCTATAGCTGCAGTGTTGTGGTGGTGATCATCACCATATAGTTGGTGCCGCAGGTGGTGGTGGATATGGTGGCAAACCTCGGTCACAGGGATGCCGATGAGATGGACGACTTGCCCGATGAAGACGTGGCCAAAGACTTCTACGCCAAATACGAGCCCAAAGAAGTGCTCGGAAGGTATGACCTCTACATCCCTGTGCTCTTATAATGTGTCACAACGACTGATCCTATGGGTGATCCTATGTGTGCAGAGGTGTGTCGAGTACTGTCCGCCGGTGTATTGAGAAGGAGACGGGACGCGAGTTTGCGGCGAAGATCATTGATGTCAGCGCAGACCTCGAGGACTCCCAGGGGCTGACACTCAGGGAGGCGTCCCTTCGAGAGATCAACATTCTTCGGCTGGTGGCCGGACATCCATATATCAGTCAGTTTTGCATTGATTTCTATTAACGATTACTTTGTGTTTTTAGTGCTGTTTTTCTTATGAAACTAATTTATGCCTTAACTCTAAACGAAGTTATTTGTCATAAATATCGCCAAATATTAGCTAATTCTCAATAAATGGTTGTATTGTTTGTTTACATAACTTTTAATATGCAATGCAAATGTGGTTACTATTTGTGTGTTATTTTAGGAAAATTCTCTTATTATTCAGATTGATGTGAGAAAGTGTGTGTGTATTGACTGTTGAAAGTGTATTGAAAGGGGAGGCCTTTGGTAACTTTCCGATCGCTAATACTTTCCATTCCTATCGCAAACTCCTGGCAATAAATTCTCCCAATACTTGTGTACATAAACGTAAACAATTGTCTGAATACATAGACATACTATAGCTGTATATTTGACTTTGTATTGTATTTCCTATGAGAGAATGTACCGAATAATAGGTTTCATAAGCCTTTGAGGTCAACACTTATCTCTACAGTCGATCAGATATGCTAGAAGTCAGGCTGTGATTAGATTAGGAAACCAGTGGCTTGTATTAGGTATCGATTTCTTGTGGTTTTCTATGAGATATAAAACTTGTATTTCTATAACAAATTCACGTCATGTTTGGCATTGAAAAATGAAATCAATGTATAGCTTATCGCGAGATTAAATTCTTAGGGATAAAAGTTTCACACTATTTCCATATTTCATAACTCAAATGTATTTCATACTGTATTTCTGATAATCTCTTTGCAGTTGAATTACACGACGTGTTTGAATCAAACACTTATGTATTCCTCGTCTTTGAATTGTAAGATCATATGACAAATCAAAACGGATATACAAATTGAATCGATTACTGATTTATATATTGTCTAATCATTTGTGTGAATCAGATGTAAAAATGGAGAACTCTTTGATTATCTCACAAGTGTTGTGGCCTTATCTGAGAAAAAGACTAAGTATTTAATAAATTAATTTTGTACTCTTCGTGCTCTTAATAACTAAAATTGATTCAATTATTTTTGATTCGTGTGTTTATCAGAGCTATAATGAAGCAACTCTTTGAAGGACTTCATTATATCCATTCAAACAATGTTGTCCACAGAGACCTTAAAGTATGTCTTAAACTCATTATTTCTATCATAACTGTTTCTAACTATTAATATTTGTATTCAAAGCCTGAAAACATACTATTGGATGATAACTATAATATAAAAATATCGGATTTCGGTTTCGCACGACTTATATCACCGAAGGAACGACTTTACGGTAAATATCCATTGATTTGATCTTAAGATTCTGTTTTTTAATCAAAATAATTGTTTCCAGACCTGTGCGGAACACCCGGTTATTTGGCACCGGAGTTGTTAAGGGCGTCGATGTACGAGAACTCTGACGGTTACGGCAAAGAAGTAGATCTCTGGGCGTGTGGTGTCATAATGTATACACTTTTGGTGGGTTTCCCGCCGTTCTGGCACAGGAAACAGATGGTTATGTTGAGGAATATAATGGAAGGCAAATACGAGTTCTGTAGCCCCGAATGGGATGACATCACAGATCAGCCCAAAGATCTCGTCAGTCATTAAATGATTAATTTATGTGAAACACTGTGTCATTAATTATATGATTGTTTTTTGATGTTTGGAATACAGATTAAAAAATTATTGGTTATCGAACCAAATGAGAGGATTAGTGCCACCGAAGCCTTAAAGCACAGCTTCTTTCAGGCCGTGGTATGTCTTAAGAGTTGTATTATTTATGTGATTACCGTATAATTTATGGTATTTTGTGTGACATTAGCGCGCACGTGTCGGTCCATTCAATGCCCGCAAGACGTTTCAATTGGCGATAATGGCTGTGCGGGCGATGATTCGCATCAAGAGATTAAAGTATACTCCGGAACCGCTTAGTCTAGAGATGGCGAAGATTAATCCCTATAGGATTAAGACTTTAAGAAAAGTAACGTAATTATTATCACTGCATATACGGTACTAAATGGTTGTTTATTTGATAGGCTATCGACGGGTGCGCTTTTCGGGTATACCATCATTGGGTGAAACGGGGAGAAGTCCAGAATAGAGCCGCACTTTTCGAGAATAGGCCTAAAGTCGAAGTGAAACTCTTATACATGCAGTCGATAGCTATGAACACTAGGAGTTAAAGTCATCGAACACTCCTAGAAGTCATAATACACTCATAATTATGTAAATCTATTGTAAATAAGTTTTAAGTTATTTTGCGGTTTAGAGAATGATTTAATTTTAGTAAATCATGAAATCGGACTGAAACTCAGTAAATAAAATAATTATTATATAAATTAAATGTGTCTCCAGTCTGTGCCACCGTTTTATTCATTTGAAGCGCCGATAATTACATGTTAGAGGCTGTAGAGGACCGGTTCTACTCTATACCAGTCTTTGACTACTCTCTTAGAGTTCAATAGTTGTGACACTTTATGACATAAAAATGTGTTCATCAGTCTGTTTGTCGGCACCCTTTGGGGGCGTTTGTCGTTCACAGCTTATGGTTACAGTTTAGGTGAGGATTTGCTTCAATAATCGCAATCAGGAACCAACTGATGGCCAACCTATGCATAACTCGCACAACATTTGACTGCTTTCAAAGACACCCCCGAAGTGGTATTGCATCACACAATGCATTGCACCACTGCTTAGCATATAATTACGTCCATACGATGTGGCGACAAAAGGCAATGCTTTTGAATGGATTGGGGGCCCAGTGGTGGCCGCAGTGGACGTCATGTATGAATGCATTGTATGAATAGTGTAGATGTAGTGGTAATAGAGGGCCACTCATAGGCTGTGATTCTAGAAGTTTCTCCACTTTTCCCAACATTTATAGCATTCATGAGAATTCATTCATTCATTCAATGCTTTCAAACCGAGTCTCGCATTGCATTCAATTGGCGTTCAATGAGTTCTTCACATTAATGTCTTGTAGTTATTTGCGTCAACATCTCCGGTCATCTTATCGTCAACACTGCTATTCACTTACCATTGAAGCCACTTATTCATAGCCAATACACTGGAACTCCATATTTGGTGACAATTATCACTCAACCCATTCACCACTCATTACCGGTATTTGAGTTTTTGGTCTTTTAATTGTTATCTTATTATTAATTGTTTTATTTACCACTCATTTCGTTGATCCATACAGTGATCGATCCAGTGATATATCCATCTTTACACCAATCGATTCACCCATCGATTGATTTATTGATTAATTATCTGCAGTACTGGTCATCGGAACCACAAAAAGTCGACACAATTCGTCGGTTCCGGCGATCGATATCTTCTTTCTTCACGCGAATCAATCCGTTTCAGAGAACTCCGGCGACTACTAGTAGTTCACCGGTAGGTGAGTACCATTGAGTCAATTGTCACCCGAATTGGTCTCATTATTGATCTTAATTACAGACTATTTTGGGAATAACTACTCTTTTCTGGAACAGTTAGTTATGGCGACAACCGGTGCGCCCGTATCGACCATTCCGGCCATTTGTGGTCTGGACGTGGGCTCCGAGAACTGCTACATAGCTGTGGCCCGAGCGGGAGGTATAGAGATACTGCTCAATGAGTACAGCCAGCGGTCGACGCCGTCGTACGTGGGGTTCGGCCAAAACCAGCGCGAGTTAGGAGTGTCCGCCAAACTGAAGCACTTCATGAACTTAAGCAACACGTGTTTCGCACCCAATCGGGTGATCGGCAAACAGCTCAAGGAGTTGACCGAAGACTTCCCCTTCCAGTTGGAGCAGACGTCCAACGGGGAGATCGCTGTCAGGGTTTGGCATAACGGCGCGGAACACGTGTTCACTGCCGTGCAGGTGATGGCGATGCTGTTGACCAAACTGAAGCAGGTGTCGGCCAACGCCGTGGACTGTGTCCTCAATTGTCCCAATTATTTCACGGATTCCCAGCGCCGGTCGCTTATGGACGCGGCGCTCATCGCTGGCCTCAACCCCATAAAGATCATACCCGACACTACAGCCATTGCCCTCTACTTCGGGTTCTATAGGACAGCACCGGCCGGTCAGGACTTCACGATCGCGGCGTTTGTGGATTGCGGTCACAGTTGCACTCAATGTGCGATCGTATTGTTCAGCCATAAGGACAATAACATGAAGATTCTGTCCGTCGAGTACGACATGAATTGTGGCGGAAAACACTTCGACGACGTGTTGGCCAACCATTTCATAGCCGAACAGAAGCTTAAGCTGAATAAGAGATCGCGCTTTCGATTGTTAGCCGAGTGCGAGAAACTCAAGAAACAGATGTCCGCCAACTCTAATGATCTGCCGATTAATGTCGAGTGTCTGTACGACGAGAAGGACTTCTCGGCCCGAATGGATCGCACGCTCTTCGAGCAGTTGTCTCAACCACTCTTTCAGAGACTCAACGATGTCTTCGTGAAGGCATACAATTCGGCGAACGATAAGTTCAATACAGACACCGGAGGGAAGTTAGGGGACTTCCGGGTCGACGTCTGCGAGATTGTCGGCGGAACCAGTCGTATACCTGCCATCAAACGCATGGCTAAGACTATATTCGGTGTCGACGTCACCACTACTCTGAATGCCGACGAAGCCGTGTCCAGAGGCTGTGCCCTTCAGAGCGCTATACTGAGCCCGACCTTCAAAGTCGCGCGTCAGCTGCAGATCATAGACTTCGCGCCCTTTCAGATAGACTTCCGGTATTGGCATGAATTGGGTGGACAACAGCCCGACGTGAAAGCCGTGCGCTCTCTGTTCCCTCGCGGACATCCCATTCCCTTCACCAAACAGGTCTCAATCAACTGTCAATCGCTTCCAATGATAGCGGCCTTCGATTACGTGAACGACTCGAACCAAATCGTACCGATCGGTGAATACAAGATATCTTCGGATCAAAACATTCAGATCAACAAAAATCAACTCAAATTCCGGTTGCGTTTGGATCCGAACGGTGTGGTTGTCATCCATTCCGTGACTGTTGTCATCGATGGCAAGAAGGGATCAAACGCTGAGAATCAAGTGGAGGACATGGAAGCAGATAATGAGCAAAACCCGTCTCAACAGGCGATGGAAACCGACGATAAGGGAACGACACCCGCAGAGAACAACGAGAACTCCACCAATAATAAGGAGTCGAGCGGTGATCAGAAGGAGGAGAAGAAGTCCAAGAAACCAAAGGCTGTAACCATTGAACTACTAGTGGAACCGCTTTGGATTAGAGGGAAGTTGAGTGACGCAGACGTCCAGAAGTTTCGAGAAATTGAGTCGAATTTGATTCTCGCGGACAAGAACTGGAAGGAGAAAACGGACGCAAAGAATGAATTAGAAGAATATATATACGAATGGAGAGACAAACTGGAAACCGGCGGTTATGACCCGTTCATTGATGGCAACGATAAGCAGGTCTTTATGGGTGATCTTCAGTCGGGCGAACAGTGGCTTTACGAACAGGAAGACAATGGCGTCGTTCACAGCAAAAGCGTTTATGAAGAGAGACTCAACAAAATGAAGACTTCGTTCAGTAATGGCATACTCTTCAGGAAACGCGAGTTTGAGACGAGACCTGGACTTCTGGAGCAATTGGGACGACATCTGCAACAGTCGCGCAAACTCGTGGAGACGGCCGAAGAGGTGGAGAAGGAGACCATCACGAAGTTGGAGTCGCAGATAGAGGAGAAGCAGAAGTGGTTGGACGAGACGTTCGCCGCCTTCAACGCCTTGAGAACGACCACTAATCCGACCATAAGTTGCGATGAGATTCAGCAACAAATCAATCAAATCGATTCCATTGTCAGACAGATCTATAACGACAGACACCGGCGACAGGAGGAGAGGAAACGACAGGCGGAAGCGGAGGCCAAGAAGGCGGCCCCTCCTCCGCAGCCCACCAACGATAGATCAATCAAATCGATTCCATTGTCAGACAGATCTATAACGACAGACACCGGCGACAGGAGGAGAGGAAACGACAGGCGGAAGCGGAGGCCAAGAAGGCGGCCCCTCCTCCGCAGCCCACCAACGAAGGCGACCAAAAGGGCGGTCCCGAGACGGCCAATAAGACGACGACCGGTGCGACAGAAGCGCCGCACATGGAAGTGGACGGCGAGGACATCGCGCCGACCATATGAGACCCAAACGACGACTAATTTATTTTTAATTAAATAATTATTAATTTTCTTTAACCATAAGATGTTTTTCTATATAATTAATGATTTGAATTCAGTTGTGAAACGCCTTACGAGTTATTCGTTTCTTTTTAATTGATTATTATTTTGTTAATTATTAACGATATCCTAATTTTATTCATAACTTTTATTTTTATCGTAACATTTAATATAAACAGGAATTTTTGAAAATATTTTTGGCTACAGTTCCCATTGGATTACAATCTAGTTATGATTTAGTATTAATTTTCATTAATGATGACACCCCCCTGTCATAGACGGGCGCACCTATAGGTTGACACAACTATTCAAATAACTCTTTATGTATATTTTGGCGCACTTTAAGTACTGTTTAATAAAATGTTTACCAAATACCTGTGATTTTGATTTGATTATTAATTGCAAGTTGTAATTTAGTTTCAATTAACAGAATTGTGTTGAATAGGGAAAGGTATGTGCTATGGATGGCAGCACCGGTACCACAATCGCGCACACAATGCAAGTCATTGTAAACGTACTGCAAAGTGAGTGCATTAAACAGATCAATGATATAGTGATTTATTAATCATAATTGTAATTAAACTCATAATTAACATCAAACTACACATAGAAATCAACATAAAATAATAGTCCAGGTGAGTGCATATTAAAATAACTATACCTTTGGCTATAATAACAACACAATAGGCAATACTCGTAGTTAGTCACTGTAATGGCATATACGGTGTTCAGGGTGGGCAGTTGGTGTGGTAGGCCAGAGATGTTCACTGCTCAGGTCTCCCCACATTACACGTAATAATCTTTCGCCTTTTACTAAAGATTACCGTGCGGGGGGGCAACTAAATGAGCCTTTAACGGCAATTTTTGCAGGCCTATTTCGCATAGGCTAATACATAATCCAAAAATAGACCACAAATTAAGTCATACATTACTTTCATACCTTTCTTACAAAACTTTTCTCTATCTGTTTCGCCCTAACACTCGCTTTCTGTCAAACTTTTTGTTATCTCTGTTTCAATGTTTTCTCATTATATTCTGTCATTTGACTCGCTATTTGTTATTCAAATTGTTTGTTGCATTCAGTAAATGTGTTGCAAATTATTTTTTATGCGATAATTGAGAGATTAATTGATTGCATAGCGAGC